CCCTCACACACTGCTGGTGGGACTGCAAATTGGTATAGCCACTATGGAAAACAGTATGGAGGTTCCTCAAAAAACTAAGACTTGATCTACCATATGATCCAGCAATCCCTCTACTGGGTATTTATCCCAAAGGCTTGAAAATCTATATCTGAAAAGATATTTGCTCACCGATGTTCATAGCAGCAGTATTCACAGTGGCCAGGTAATGAAAGCAACCAAAATGTCCTACGATAGATGATTGGCTAAAGAAGCTGTGGTACATATATACAATGGAATATTACTCGGCCATAAGGAAGAGATGAAATACTACCATTTGCGACATCATGGATGGACCTGGAGATAATCATGCTAAGCAAAATAACCCAGATAGAAAAAGTTGAAAATCACATGATATCATGTATATGTGGGATATAAACCTAAAAGCAACAAATGAACAGGACAAACAGAGACTCATGGACATGGACTATAGTCTAGTGGTTACCAGAGGGTAGGAGGTGGGGGAAGGGGGGAGGTAGATGGGGTAAAGTAGGTCAAATACGTGGTGACAGAAAGAAATCTAACTATGAGAGGTGAACACACAGTCTAAATATATATACGCCTTACTGTTAAAGTGTACAGATGAAACATTGGATTTTGTTAACCAATGTCACCAGAAGAAAATAATTAATTAATTAATTAACTTTTTATAAATAGACTACATATGAAAGATAAACTTAGATTTTATGCAGTGGTCAATAGGTGACAACTGGCAATTTACAGAAAGGAAATACGATAAATATTACCATTTTAGAAATATAGGCAACAGTCTGCAAAACAGATTGAATATATTTTTTTCAATGCATAAAGTGGAAATATTTATTAGCTTCAGCCATAAGTTCTCATTTTCTATTATTATAGATTTAGAAAAAGAATAAAATTTTAAATTATTTTAAAACATTTTTGTTTGTTTTGTTCTACTTTTAAATATTGTGTAATCTAGGATTTGCATCTTTTTCTCATATATTTTATGCTTTCTGCCTTATATATATATATATACATATATATACATATTTTATGAGGATAAAAGGTGAAGAGATTGTACATGAAGTTGAAAGTTTACTAAAATGCTTTAACCAAATATTAAAAGCTAAGTAATTACAGAAAAATAAGGTAGTATTATAATAATTTTCTAGTTCTTATTTACAGAAGAAAAAAATTTTACAAAAATAGAAAGGTTCTTTGGTAAATTAGCAGGCATTAAACAATGTTTTATTCACATTTCTGCATTAGGAGATAAGAGTTATTAACTTTCATGCTTTTTGATGTACTTAATACTCTGTAGAATTATCCATGAGCCTTAGGGGCTATTTACCTTTCTTTGCAATATACACATGTGTAAATTTTTAAAGACTTGGAAAATTTAAACAATAAATCCTCTAAAGCAACCAGCATAGTATTCTTAGGTGCATTAGTTTGCTAACATAAGTTTAATCTTTCTCATTATCATTATTCCTGCAATAAAAGCAAAATATCAACTGAGTTGGGTTTTAAATAATTTTTAAAAATAGAAATGCTAGTGATTCATACAGATAAAACACTACTTTATTAAAATATTAAGCATGAAATATTGGATTACAATCCATTGCAGCTTGATATCATTTTTCCAATTAACACTATTTTAATCAATTAAATTTAGTCCGTAAATCTTTTGGTAAAGTACATTTCAATGAACCTGTTACATAGCTTTCATTGGAAAATAGATAGCTAAGACCAAAAAATTTTTTCTTACTTAGCTATAATGTGACTATAATAATAACTAAAAAAATTCATTTTATTATAATTACTTAGGACTTACAAGCTTACTCCACCAAGAATATAGAAATCAAAGAAATAGTTTACTCTTTTGGGGTCAATGGAAAAAGGAAGTTGGATCAAGGCTGCAAGATAGAATCCTGCATATTTATCTATATAAATATTGTGTCAGTTGCAGGAGTGTTTATTAGCTATGGAAGCAGAGGGAAATATTCACTAAGGAAAATGTGAATGCCTATGTCTTCTCTGTACAGAGAAAGGAAGTTTGAAGCATCGTAGATCCCGTGAGAGATAAATGTGGGTAATTGTAGCCAGCATATTTTAAATACTCTAATCTCAAAAATAAAAAATAATATAAAAATTGGTGATTGGATTCATTAAATTGATAACTTTTGATCTTTAAGAGTTAATGTTAAGAAAATGAGGGTAAACCACAGACTAGGAGATAACATGTGCAAAATGTATAGCTGATAAAGGGTGTTCTTCAAAACATATAAAGAATTCTTACAACTCAATAATAAGAAGACTGTTCAATTTAGAAACAGTCAAAAGACCTAAATAGACATTTAATCAAGTAAGATATAGAAATGGAAATATGTACATGAAAAGAGGTATAACATTATTAATAATGAGAAAAATGCAAAATAAAGATACGAAGAGATACCACTACGCATGCACTAGAATTACTGAAATCAAAAATACAATACTCAGTTTAGTAAAGATGTGAAAAAACTGTAACCCTCTAGTGTCACTGATAAGAATGTAAAATAGTATAACCACTTTGGAAAACAGTTTAGTAGCCTCTTAGAAAGTTAAACATACACTTACCATATGGTCTAAGAAATAAAAATTAATGTTTATGAAAAATTAATCACAAATGTTTATAGCATCTTTATTCCTAATAAACAAAATATA